TAAAAAATACCGAAAAAAAATAATGTAATAAATATGTAAATATATATGAGAAAAAAATTACACTCGAATATGATAACTTAATGAGAAAAAAGAATATAAAGATAAATGGTTCTGCCATATGATTTCGCAACTGCTCTTTAAAATTCTCAATGTCACAACGTCTCGCTTTCAGCGAATACGATCGGTCGATTAGTTGATCGGTCAGTTGAGTGTCACGTTTCCTCATTTAACGGAACAATGGTTTTAAATAAACACATTTAAGGCAGCGCAAAAAAAGCAATATCCTCTTTCTTCTCGCACGCAGATTTGCCAGTTTTTGTCGCCTAATAATTATAGAACTCGCGAACCTCGGCTATGCAGTCGATTTTCGAGAAACACGTTTTTTTCATGGTCAACAGTATCGCTGATACAATGTAAAAATCATCAATAACATCGGACAGTTTGACGTTTTTTCATACTAATAACACGTGAAAAAAAGCCGCCAATCACGCAGACTATGTTGCGCAGATCGATGACTTGCACGATGCAGATAAAGTCATAATAACACGCAACAGAGCGCAATTTCGCTCTTGTTTTTCAAATAGTTAGCATCCACGCGATCATCACAATATGAATGACCTGGCAAAATTCTCACAAATATTAACAAGAAATCGTCTGATTCTTGAAACTGTCGCTATATCTACTGAATTTATAATCGTACGATTAAGTAATATAATTTACAGTAATTATAGTACAATTAATAATAATACATATTTAAACAATTGATATTAACTTGGAATGTATCATTGTCTAGAATTCTTAAATTCAGAAAATTAATATATTTTGTATCTCTGAATTCATATATCTATTCACATTAATTCGAAAAATTAGAGTTTTGCATTAAATGTCTGTCGTAAAATATTTGTAAGATTTAAAAAAATTTTACTTTGGTTCAAAATGTTAATTATGTAAATAAATGTTAATGATGTAAAGTTGTGTCGCTAAATGAAAAAAAAAAATCTAAATCTAAATTTACATTAAAAATCCCGCAAAACAAAATATTTTATAATAATATTTTTCGATTCTCTATTCTCCCTGTCTCCTTTTTTTAAATATTAAATTAGAATATTATACAATTTGTTTATTCTATTTTTCCAAAACTGAATAAAGCAATTAAAGTAAATTAAAGGAAATAATTCTTGATATTTTTCCGTTACAGAATTGAACAGGAATTTTATAAAATTTTTTCTTACTTTGGAATTAAATCAGAATTTTGATTCAAAATTCTGATATAATTCTGATTAAATCGTGAAATATTGATACTGTCACATATTAATACAAAATTTTGATTAAAATAATTTATATCAAGAATTTCGTATTTGCTCTATATAACTAATTCCAATATTCTAATAATTAAATATAATTAAAACAATTATTATTTTAAATTATATTTTAATAAATAATTGCAATCGATATTTTTAAATCAGTAATTTCAATAACATATATATATTTACGTACCGATTTGACCCATTTATCTCTTCGTTAACTAGCGCAGAAGACACTTCTTGACCCCGTAAAATATTCTTGGAATTCTTTTCTATGCCAACAGCTGATCGACAGGTATCGAGAGGGAGCTCCAGGACTGAAAAGCGACGACGCGACCTTGCCGTCGATAAGACTGTCGATGTATCGGGACGAGGAAACGCGAAAGGGAGAGAACGATGCGATCAAAAAATGAGGGTTGCGTCGTGAGTCACGTCTGAGCACGGACTGGCGTGCTCGGCCCTCGGCGTGCTGCCACCCTCGCTCGGCCTCCTAGTATTATCGAATGCTCTCTCCGGCTGCACACACCTGCCGGCATTTCGATATATACCTACGTATATCCTGTATACACGCTCGAGGAATATGCAACAATTTTCGCGGGACACCATTGGATTAGATCATCTCCGAAATATTTTTTCCGTCTGTACGCAGCTTTGAAAATTCAGAAGATCCCACGCGAAAATATTCTTCATTGGTCTTTAGTATCTTTAGTGATTTTCATTGAAATAATGTTTTTTTTTATTTTTTATTATCACTTTAATATAATATAATATAATATATAATATAATATAATATATAATATATAATATAATATAATATATAATATATAATATATAATATAATATAATATATAATATATAATATAAAATATAATATATAATATAATATAATATATAATATATAATATAATATATAATATAATAATATGTTTGAAGAATTTTTAGGTTCTCTATATTAAAGGTTCTCTATATTAAATATATATTAGAGACATTAAAATGAAGAAATTACGAGCCGCGTCAAATGTCATTTGAATCATTTTCGTGCCGTCAACCGTAAAACGTAGTCGCGACATCACGAAACTTGACCGACTTTGAGACTCCCCTTCTCTCTCACGCGACAGCGGGATAATAATTATTACAATTAGGGTGGTGGGTCGGGGTGGGCTTGCAGCGGACGCTGTAAACTTTCAGCAATAATTTACAGGGCTTTTAGCGACTTGGCAGGAAGCAAGCCGCTAACTCGAGACTTACGGAGCTCGGGCTTTTCCCAAATTGCACGGCTCGTCGCATGATAGTCTATTTAACATCCCGGAATTAACTTTACATTATTTACGGCATTGTGATTTTTGCTCATCAACGAAACGTTCAATGTCTCAAAGGTCTCTCTGCGTCTCTTTATGTCCGGCTGCGAAAGAAAGTCAAATGCGACGATACATAAATAATTTATGCAATAAAATTTTCAAGATGCGAGATGAACCTTGGTAATACAAAAGTCAATTATTTTTACTTATTAAGGGGATGCTGCCGTAGTTCTGTTTTACCGACTTTAAGTTAGGTTAGGTTCACTTTTTATTGAATATACGGATTGAAAAATCCTTCACAATGAGAATATTATTCTTCTGTATTAATCTTTCATGTTATCTCTATTGGGAGCGCCATATTTTGTGCACAAAGAAACTACAGAACTTTTGTATTAAATAACTATTGTTATGAGCTGATGCAAGAAGTCGATAAGAAAACTGTAATTTTTTTTAATTGTAGAGAAAGATCTTTTTCAATCTACATAGCCAATAAAAAGAAAAGTTCTTGATCTCAAAATTGGTAAAACTGTCATGGTCAGCATCCCCTTAATTAAATTAATTACCACAGCATACATTTTTTGGAATCCCGAATTTATTTTCCAAAAACAAACTTTATTTATACCTATCTCATACATTCACCATTTATAATTGATAATTATTATTTAAAAATAAAAGAAGTTGTGTCATCAAAATAATTATCAAAAATTACCTAAATTTCACAAAGTTCATACATATAAAATATTTTAACTATCTTGTATGTTGATACACTTAATTCTAACAGTAAGATAAGGATGCACCGCAGCTTCGGCTAGTTTTCGAGGAAAAAGAAGGAAAAAAATCGCACAATAAAGCCACGTGAGCGTAAAACGAAGGTCCCTGTCCGCTGTCCACCACCGCATTATATATGTGTACATATACGTGATATTATGATAACACAGTAGGCGTCGTTTATGCCGAGCAAGAGAGAGACTCTCTCTCTGTATAGGGCACGTAACTACCGTATACCTCGTGTATTCCGCGTTTTTAGGACTCGTAGCTACGTTGAAACACGAGTCGCGTGAGAGACGCCTTTCCCTTTCTCAATTCGATCGGCTAATTATAATTGCACGAGGGTCGACGGGATGTTACCGTAGGAATGTTCAAGATAGGCAGGAGAAGAGAAGTGATTATGGCGCGCGCATAATTGCGAAACTGAAGAAAATTAATGCCGACACGGTATGTGTGTGTGTGTGTGTGCGTATCTTACGCTGCTGAAACGGAGACTAATTTATCTTCTTTACGTCTATATGTGATACATGTGTGTTCCTTTCGTTGTTTAGTTAGATTGAATATAATGATAATGCAAAAGAGATAAAATGTCCGACTTATCTCTAATAATATTTTGCAAAATTTATTGATTATCCCACGTTTGAATAAACGAGAAAATGATGAACATACGTAATTTTAGATTTTTTCTTGACAATTTTTGAAGATCTTTCATGGGTATTTTTTTATAATTATTTCGATGATAAATACCTACTTTTTCAATTTTAAATACTGTAATAATAATTATCAATTAGAATTGAAGACTGAAAGAAAGGCACAAATAAATTTATTTTTGGAGGATACTTTGAGATTTTAAAAAGTGCATTGGTAATTAATTTTTAATTAAGTAATTAATGAAACGAGAAAATAATGAAAATACATAATTTCAGAATTTGTCTTGACAAATTTTGAAGATCTTTCATGTGGGTATTAATAATTTTTAAATAAATCATATAAAATACTAAAACTTCATAATTTTTAATAATTATTTCGATGATAAATACTTTGTCAACTTTACTAATTATTAATTAGAAATGATATAAGTAAAGTTTATTTTTGAAGGATACTTTAATGTTCCAAAAATGCATTGGTAATTAATTAATATAATAAAGTTACTAATTTCTCTTTTAGATACAAAATTTTTTAAACATTTTTTAAAAATATTATAATATTTTTAATATTTAAGAGTAGTAATGTATTTAAGAGTAATGTATTTAAGAGTAGTAATGTATTTAAGAGTAGTAAGGCAGGAGTTTGGAGAAAATCTTATCTATTCGGAAATAACGTGAAGATAATTGCGTTCCCTTATAAAGTGTGCAATAGGAACAGAAGGAATGTAGGGAAGATATATACATGTACATATAAAGCGAGATAGGAGCGTCGGTTAGCGGCTCTTATCATCGATCGCACGGCGAAGTTGAACCGCGAAATGAGCCAAACGAGATCGATATAGCTAACACCAGGGCAATCTACGTGCTGCCAAGTGGCGCGATTCGCGCGATAATTGCTTGCGAACTGGCAAACCACCCTCTCTCTCTCTCTCTCTCCTTTTCACCTACTTATTCTCTTTCTCTCTCAGCCACCTATCACTCACGCGCTCGTTCGCGACTGTTCGTTTTACTGACAATTCGAGCCCTCGAGAACCAGAGCCTGGCACGAAGAGCTCCATAACCCAAATCGCTTTCTTCGACTAACGTGTGGATCCTTCTTATCTCGATGTTCAATGAAAACTTTGCCCCCTCGATAATCGATAATATCTGAAGAAGCGTAGAGTTTTCTTTTGATTGAAGCTAATGACGTAATTTAGGATTTAAAAGATATGGAAATTCTCTTTATCAGATCCTGGAGCTTGCAACAATTTATTCTTTGCGAAGATGTATCGAACAATTTGAAATCTTTACATTTCTACAGAATAACCTGATTGCATTAACATTATTGATTTTTGTTTTGTAAGAATAATTATTTAAATATCGATTAAATTTGAGAAATTCAAACTCTAATAAATTCGTAATTTTTTCTTAAATCTTATTTATGAATAAAGGTCGCTATTTTCAGAAATTATGGAAGGGATGAAATTTCGAGAATACGTGTAAGAGTGTTTTAATAAATTATATTTTTGTTTGCTGTCTGAATTTATCCTAAAAAGACAAAATTAAAATATCTTAAAAATTATTTCAATTATTTTATTTATTTACAAAAGTAGTGTAAAATAATTTTATAGTAAAAAAACTTGTTTTAACTTGAAACTTCATAAATGCAACAAGTGCGAGCACAGTTGATAAATAATTATTAATTTATACATTTATATATTGTATAATTATTCATTATATTTAATTAACTATATAAAAAAATTATATCTTGTTAAAGAAATTAATTTCTCTCTAAAAATTTGTTGTGTGCGAATAATAAAATAAGCACAAAAAATAGCTCAGCTTTCAGGGGGTTGATTTTACACACTGAGTAAAATTTATTTCGAGCAGTAAATAAAAATAACGTTGCTTACACAGACACTCATGCTCATAGTTCCAAAGTTCTGCACTTGAAAATTTTCGATTTCAGGGTTCTTTTCCCCGTAGAAATCCGTGGAATGGAAAATGAATAAAATTCGCGTAATACGATTACGGGTTATTAAACGAGCGCGTATTATATCGACGAGAAGCGCCCTTGCCATCTCATCGTAAATCACGGAAACGGCATCGGATAGCAAGCGGCCGGCTGTCATTTCTGGTCGCGTGCTCGCCGATCGTAATGACGAGCGAAACGTTTCGACCCTATCCTCACCCCCTTTTTGAACCCCCTCGCGACGCGACGCGAAGTTATGGCTCGGCGCACGCGACGAGACTTCAGGCGCGGCGACTTTTTTTTGTCACCCGTTATTACTCCGTGTCGTGTCGTTGTTAATGGACGTGACGTGCATGGGTGTCGGTCCTCGGATGACTTTCCGCGTTCTTTCTATACTAACTCTTGGTCTCCGCCAACTCCGGAGAACACGACGAAATTGATGCTGAAAACACGCCACGGTATGATAATGATAAGGGTGGAAAAGTGGGGCCTCCCTTTTTCCGCGACGAAATTCGGCAGGACTCTATAATATCGAAATTATTTTATTTTGGTAGTATTAATTAGGAGCTTTCTATTTTTTCTTTCGCACAAATCGGATTATCTATATATTTTTTTTTTATTTTTTCAGAATCTATTACAATTTTGTTTTACTTACTTTTTTATTCTAAAAAATTCAACTTTTCGTAATTTAAAAATGGTTGTGACAGTTAACACCGTGTTGTGCATGATAATGTATTTTTTTTTCTTAAAAAATATTGAACATTATTCTACGAAAATAATGTAAGACAAAAAGTTTCTAAAGAAATCGAGCTTTCTAATATATATTTTTAGATGATCACATTCTGATTCGTTAAACAATTCTAATAAAAAAATTGAATAGGGTTACAAGTTTCATCCCCCTATAACGATACGGTAGGATTACAAAAATATTAATAAATATCTTTTTTACTAATAAAAAATGTCTATCAAATTTCACTTTTCCTTGTTCAAAATTTGAGAAAAAAAAATATAAATCTAATTTGTATCCTCTTTTTGAGGAGTTTATCTCCTCAGAGAGAAAAAGTATATTTTTATATAGAAAAGACATTCCTTAATTTTTTATACAATCTGATTGATGCGGAAAAAAGAAATAGAAAGATAAATCTAAATAATAAAATAATCATATATTTATCGAATCTCTCGTTATAAAGATATTTAAGACACTATCCATTGAAGCTTCTGCACGAAAAAAAAAAAAATAATAAATAAATAACACCGAGCAACAATTCTTTCCTTTTATCTTCCGAAATAAGTATTGCGTCAGACTTGCGTGGGGACAGAGGTTCGATTTACATTCACTGAACGCGGCATCAATTTTAATTATTCGGTCGAGCCAGGTTGACGCGCCGAAGCCGAAACGAGGAGTCGTAAAGTCGTCCACGCGGACTCGAGATATCTCGCACGAAATTCTATGCGCCCATTAAAACCCAGTTCCCGGAACGTTCTAACTAACGAACGTCTTCCTTCCTTCTCTCTCTCTCTCTCTCGCCGACTGATCTCTTCGGGCCTTAAACATAAACTATATTTAATAACGGAGCTGATAATTGCATACTGAACGGCCGCACCGGCCTAAGAACGAAAAAGTGCCATTTTCGGACCAAAAACGAGCATCGTCGTTAAAAATCGTTGTCGCGAGAGAGCGGAGCAAATATTTTCGTGGCTCGCACTTTTATAACCCGAGCCTGCTTCAACGATTGTTCACAATCTAGGTATTCCTTCTGACAAGTGTGTCATGACAAATTGTTACATCGAAGTTTTATACTTTTTTTCGAGCGGTTCTTTTGTCCACGTTGACTCGTAAAAAAATATGAAAATTAAATCCTAATTAAGATTCTTCGATCTAGCAATATTATATAAAGTGTTTTAGTATATGGGAAAAATATAAAAATATTCTAGCGATCATTTGAGGATAGGAAATGATTAAAATCTAATATTATAATATAATTATGGCATTTTAATTATGACACTTTATATTTTACATTCAATCATAATTTAATTTTTTTTTAATTTGCTGTAAAAAATATATAAAACTTTGATATGATAATTTGATTCTTGTTTCACACATGATACGTTATCAATCTATACAGCACAAAATATTATGAATGTTTTCAAAAAATATTTTTAATATTTCTATAAAATATTGCATAAAAACATTTTTAAATAGTTTTAGGAATATTTTAAAATAATTAAAAAATTTTTTATAATAACATTTTTTAGAATATTTTAAAAAACTTCTAAAAATATTTTTATCGTTCAGATAATATTTTTTTAAATATTTGATACATATTTTTGAAATATTAGTTTAAATCTATATATTCAAAAATATTTCTGAAAATATTTTTTAAACATGAAAAACTGACATAGAAACATTTTAAAAATATTTTCGAGAATTATTTTATCTTTTAAGAAATATTTTTAAAGAATTTTAGAAATATTTTGTGCCATATGGGAAGTGCAATTAATTTTAAGCGGAGCAATTAAGTGAGAATTATAAATTCATTTTTTTTTTCGCAAAGTAGCAGTTTTAAGGTTTTCGGATTTTCGAGATAGCGAAAGTAATGTCTGTAAATGGATTGCGTCCGATTCCAAGCATGTACAACTATTTTCCCGCGAGAAGAGTAGCTACTATATGTATATATTGATACAACTACTCGGCACGAGGCGAAGCTCCTGCTCGTAATTTCGACATTGGAGTCACGTAGTGGCGAGACTTTTGTTATCTGGAGCAACGCTTTATGCTTTTCTTTTCGATTTTTATGCCCTGATATCTCTGGATCTCTACATCTATAGATACGAGATGACACATGAACACGTGTGAAATGACAGTTTTACACTTTATATTAAATATTTTTTATAATTTTTCTGTGTTTGTGAGAGACATTTGAATTAAGTAACTATTTGAAATTTATTTCAAATATTGTGTAATGAAGAAAATAATTCAAAAAATAACAGAACACAAATACACCTTCCAATTTAATTTAATTGTTAATAATTAAAATAAATTTATCATTAGAAATAATTATTTCTAATGATAATTTTTTTCTTGAAATCTGTAACAAGCAATTCTTGCATCTGACTCATAAATCGATTAAATATTTTAAATAAAATTTAATTGACAAATAAAAATTAATTATTTTGCATTAATGATTTATAGTTAATTCCAGAAAGGAAAATAATTTATATAAATATTTTTAAATCCTATGTGAAAAATATTTATATATTAATACTATTTTGCCTTTGATCTCACACATACATCTATCCAAAAAAATACAAAAAATTACCTGACAAATTTTTTGCGTCGTTTCTATTAATTTAAATTAAATATATTGTAACTTAATTATTATATAAAAAAAAAATTTATTAAATTCTATATTATTTATTATTAAATAATATTATTATTACAAATGCAGATTTTTTAGTACACATCTGTCAAAAATTGTCCCAATTATAATTTATACCGTAATCTCCCTCATTATAATATATTACTTATGTATTATGGAAAAAGCTGGAGAATTTATAGGACAAGTGTGAGATTCGAGATTGCGAGCGCTCTCGAATATTCCGCAAGCTACCGATATCGAGGTCCAAACTTCCCTTCCTCTTCCTCGCCTCGTTCTGATTGAAATACGATTATGTAACTGTCGCATTACATTGACGCGATTTATTGGGCAAATTTATTAAGGAGCGGGACACACGTGCGCGCAGGCGTTTATTGGATTACGCGTGCGCGCTTGTATGTGTGTGTGCGCGCTTACATAACACAGGGGGTGGAAGGAGGGTGGGAGGGGGTGAATTATGTTCGCTCTCTCGCCGAACGGCTTATGGCATTTATTAGAAGTCCGATGGGGGTGCGCTCCAGAATTACGAGCTTCCAGTCGCGGTGTGCGGAACTCTCACTTTTTCATTTATACGCCCGCTAAACGGCCGGTCGTTATCGGCCGACACCTCTTGGTCGGTTCTCAAGAATTTACTACCGACCGTAGGGGATGACGGGGCTGGTAACGATTACGGGGGGATAATTTCCTACATAGATGCCGGATTCTCGCGTGAGGAAGCGCCCGACGAAATAATCTCGGAGTGTCGTCGCATCATCCCTTTGTGTAACGAAATCCCTTTGTTAAAACAAGGCGCGTCGTTCTCCCATTTTGCACATAATTTGCTAATTATAATTGGCAAATAATAGCAATAATAATAATAATATATTATATTATCAATATAATACGTAATAATATAATATATAAATATTTAATAATTTTAATATATTATAATAATAATATATTATAATATATTAATAATATAATATATTAACACTCAAAATAATTAAGGGATGCAGAAATTGTACAAAAAATTTTAAATAGCTGTAACTTTGTTTTGAAAAATAATAATTTAAATTTTAAAAAAGGGTTTTGTAACTTGAAATCGATTGAAATTTTTGTGCCTATCCCAAACTTGGCAAAACATTACAAGTCTGTAATGCTAACAAGTTTGAGGTACTAGGAGGCACAAAAACTTCAGTCGATAAAATTTTTTTAGTCACTTTACGTAACTTTTTTCAAAGTTTAAACAAAAAGGTGAAAATTCGCAAATTTCTTCATTATTTTCATCTATGTAGTAAAAAGTTCACGAGTTAAATAAATTCGGCCTCTATATCATAGTTTAGAGCAAAGTTTCAGCTTTAAAAATCCATTTTTAAAATTGTTGTACGATGATTTTTAACGGAGTTATAAACGATCAAAGTAAAAATGGCATTTTCTCTTTAATTTGCGATTACTTGATAAGAAAAGATCAAAATTTAAATTTAAAAAAACGATTTTGCAGGGAAAATCGCAGGCTTTAACGTGAAAATGTCAAAAAGTTTTTTTAAATCTTCTTGTGTATGCGACATGTCTACAAAGTGAGAAAGAATTTTCCATTTTGTTACGTTTGTCGTTTTCTGTATGTAAAAAATATCAGAATTGAAGAAAATGAAAATAGCTATGATCTTTCGAAAGTAGAGATTGCAAGCTTTAAAACCCTTTTTTAAAATTTAAATTATCATTTTTTAAAACAAAGTTACAGCTACTTAAAATTTGCATATTTTTTGACAATTTTTTTGATCCTTTAATTATTTTGAGAGAAGTT